AGGCTTCGCATTTTGTCTGTAAGTCTTTAGAATCACACAGAATTATTGCATGCAAGAAGGTGCTGTTTTCTTCAGCTTCCAGCTGGCACTGCTGCCTTTATGTTTTGCTAGGACGAACAGATAATTCTGCATTAGGCACTGTTTATTTAGAAGAATACTTTACAAAGCAGTGGGGAGAAATGAAACTTTTAACCTAGAGCTCTAAAAACACATAGAAAGTCAATCAAAATTGAAGACAAAACTAACACTGAAAGCTATTGCCCAGGATTTCTCTTCAACAAAGTTAGCTGAGACAAGACAGGAGTATGGATGATATGAAGAGTGAAGGAAGGCAGTAATGGGGAAAAAGCACCCAAGTTGAAAGTCAGAGAAAAGCTGTAGGATAGCAGGACATACATGTGTGCATCCCTGAGTGCAGGGCAGTCCTGCAACAGAGGGTAGGGTTGGCCTCATGAGGTTACTTGATACAGGGGCATGACCAGTGATATGATTTGGAGGGAAATTGGATCTGCCATGGGGAGCTGAGTTCTGCACACCTACCATAAACACCAGGGTGGTACTTATCCTTGGCTGTCACTGCTGTTGAGCATGGCTGATACACTTACAGTGAAAGAGAAGCAACTGCATGACTTCTTTAAATTTTCCTGTAGAGAGTCCAATTCCAAGACATTTTAATTGCAGCTGTGCTTTGTTACTGCAATTGATGGTATGACCGGCTTTACTTTTGTGCAGGTTGCTTGATTTTTCTGATGTAATTTTTTTTTTTTTTTTAAGAAGAATAGATGGACTAAACTTACAAAAGACTGCAAAACTTTCTTTGAGGAGTGGAGAAACATGATTAAAAAAATAACACCCTGCTTACTGAAGTAAGAGAAACTCTATGGAACTTTGATATGACAACATAAGCCACCTATTTTTGAAGTGAACTCTTTCCACGACCAAATGGTTTACTATTATGGCCTCCTGGATATCTGAACCCAGATAAGTGTTCAAATTGTGACAGTGCAAACAGGAAGAATATTTGTTTTCTTCCTTCTTTCTTTCTTCTATCCCTTGCAACTTTTTCTTACTAAACTGGTCTATGTAAGCAGTGTAGGAGACCTTATTATAGACCCTTCAAGGGGAACAGTGGCTATTCCTGCTACTTTTAACAGAGCTGGAATGAAACTGGCAATTCACATTTCCGTTGAAGTACAACAACACTGGTGGTGATAAACTGATTACAGTTAGATCAATGGAATAGGGAAAGGCATCATTAATTATTTATAACCAAGAGGCTATTTTAACATCCTCCTACAAGCTTTCTATTTTCCCACCACTTCCCTTCCTAGGCACATCCTCACTGACTCATTACAGTTCAGGATCTCAAAGCACTCCTGAGGTGCTCCATGTTGTCACATTGGCTTTCAGAACTAAGTAATATCCATACTACCAGTTCTGCCATAGCAGCATCCTCCTATCACATCCTGCCTCAGCCAGCACCCTCTGCATCTTCATCCACCTAACAGACAGCACTTTGGTTCTTCCATCCGGTCACTGGAGAAAGCCTTTGCCACCTGTTCTTTTGCTTGTGTCCAATAGTGCAGAGCCTCAATTATACCTGTGATGAGTCCACTGCACACTGACATGACTACTGCCCACCATTATCACTCCTAGTATCATGTCACAACCCATATCCAACTTGCTACTTTCCTCTGTTTTAAGACACCTCTGAGTTCAAAGTGACTATGACAACTGGCTGACAAGCACAGGTGTCTTGTCTGCAAAGGTTGTTTGACCTGCCATGCATCATTGGTGCCACTGCAATTTCATAGTGTAAGTATACAGCCCTGTTTATGACTTACCCTTCCTGCATGTCTTTCCTCAGGAGGCTTGCAAGATGCTGATCCAGGCAGCTTTGTTAAGTGCAAATTTCTTTATAGGTCCCTATCTGAGGGATTTGCTAGGGGAAGAATTTCTGAAACATTCTCTGTAATCTTGTTAGATCATAGAACAACCTGGGTTGAAAAGGATCTCAAAGATTATCTAGTTTCAGCCACCTCTGTGGGGGCAGGATTGTCAACCACTAGACCAGACAGCACAGAGCCACATCCAGCCTGGCCTTGAATGCCTCCAGGGATGGGGCATCCACAACCTCCTTAGCAACCTGTTCCAGTGTGTCACCACCCTCTGGGTGAAAAACTTCCTCTTAATATCTAACCTAAACCTCCCCCATCTCAGTTTAAGACCATCCCCCCTTTTTCTATCAATGTCAACCCATGTAAACAGTGATTAAGTTGATATTTCTCTAAGACTTACATCTTTGTTTAGCTTATTGAGAAAGGATAACAAATTCCGGTATTAGTTGAAGGCTCCAGACAGAGTTTTTCTACACTTGCCCTTCTGGATCTAACATAATTTACGTATAATTTTTCATTATTTATACTGTCAAATATATGTTATATTTCCATGTCAAAAACCTCTGACTTCAAGTGCAACCCCATGGCTTTCTGAGTAAATGATTTCCTAAAGAGATAACGATCATGTACAAATGGATGCTCCAGTTTCATAAGGTCACCTCCCAGAGCGTTAATGCCCTTTCAGCTTCCCATTAGAGACATCACAAAAGATGCAGCTCATTCACATGCAAATGAAATGTTTCAACACTTCTGCTTGCTTTTTACATGATCTGTAAAAGCACTACCTTCACATTCTTTAAATTCCTCTTTCTAGAACATTAAACTCTGCTTACTGTAGCCAGTACTGTGGCAAGAGAATCTTTGTAGATGAACATTGGGCCATATCAACTTTTGTCTCTATTCCACACTCTGTTGAGAGTGCCTGCATTTCCTCAAAACATCTTCTGTTTCCTCTTCAGTTGCTGTCAATGCTCACCCATCCAGTGATTGGATGTCATCTCTGAGATTCAACAACTAGGACATTTCTCGCTTCATAATAAATTTTTTTAACCCCTTATGGTACTGTTGTAAATTATATTTTTTCCCCACATTTTTCTTCTTTTGACACATTTTCATACAGTTCTATAATGAAATATAATTTACTTCTGTACAATCAGAGCTTCACTGACTTATATCATCAGTGACTTTTCTTTGCTGATACTGTTTTCACCAGTGCACCTAAGCCTCAAGAAAAAAAAAAAAACAACAATCCAGTCCATATTCCATTATTCCATGGGTCTTCAGATGGACAGAGTGTTCTGTTTATGCTTGCTCCCATGAAGATGTATTCCTCCTTCCTTTACATATCCCTGCTGATGCTTGCAAGAATTGTTGTAGTGATGTAATCTTCTTCAAGTGACAGATATTCTTGTGTGTGAGTTGTTTGTTCACCCTGAATTTCCCCAGGGACTTGGGCTCTGTACACCCCCATGCTGACTGCTTTATGCTTTTCTTCCTCAATGTCAACTGAGAATTTATTATAGGTTTCTTTTAATATCCACAGCATCAAGGCAACAGTCAACTTCCTCAAGCTTCCAGCAAGTCCTTCTTTGCTTTATAAATGCTAACTGCTTTTCTATAAGTAGATTCTAGGCATTTCTGTAGATGCTTACTTGAATGATTTCCCACAGGATCTGTGATCTTACTAGAAACTGAATTTGGCTCCCAAAGTTTCAAAACAGTTTTTCAACTTTCTATCAGTCAGAAACACTGCTTTATTTTTTTTTGTAATGTCTGTTTAAAAACACACACCAGACATGTTTCACTTTACCTTGAGAGTAGCACTCAACTTGCTATAATAATCTTTTATAATTAGCCTTCTCTGCCTATTTTTTTTTTTTTAAAAAAACAACTGAAGCGCTTCAGAGTTTGTCTGAAAGAAATTGTCACATTTTCAGAGGTACTTGTGGCTTATGGGTATATGTTGAAGTACAAAGCAAAATGATTCCAATTATCTCCTTTAGTTTGAAAGAATCCCAGTATTGATAAGTTGTTCAATGCTTCCAATCTTCTATTTTGGACCTTAGAATGGTTTGAGCTGGAAGAGTCCTTTACAGGCCATCTAGTCCAACTCCACTGCGCTGAACAGGGACATCTAAAGCTACATCATATTGCTTGGAGCCACACACAGCTGATCTTAAGTGTTTCCAAGGATGGGCATCTACCACCTCCCTGAGCAGCCTGTTTCAGAGCCTCACCATCCTTATTGGAAAAAGCTTCTTGCTTATACCCAGTTGGAATTTCTCTTCTTTTAGTTCAAAGCCATTTCCCCTTGTCCTATCACAACAGACTTTGCTAAAGGGTCTGTCCCCTTCTTTCTTATAGCTCCCATTTAGGTACTGAAAACAGCCTTCTCTTCTCCAGGTTGAACAGCTCCTTCTGCCTCAACCTGTCCTGGCAGGGGAGGTGTTCCATCCCTTGGATCATTTCTGTGACTCTCCTCTGGACATACTCCAACAGGTCCACATCTCTCCTGCACTGATGACTCCACATCTGGATGTAGTACTCCAGGTCAGACCTCACCAGCACAGAGGAGAGGGACAGGATCACCTCCCTCAACCATACTTGTTTGGATGCAGCCCAGGACCTGGTGTCAACACCTGGTTGGCTTTCTGGTCTACAAGAACACACTGCTAGTTCATGTCCAGCTTGTCTTCCACCAGTACACACTGGCAAGGCTGTGCTCTATCCTTACAACCCCAGTTCGTACTGATAGTGGGACTTATCAGAACACAAGGGTCAGACTTCTTACTTGAGTTTCTTGATCCTCATGAAGTTCACATATGCCCACTGCTCAAGCCTTTCTAGGTCTGCCTGGGTAACACCCCATCCCTCAGGTAAGTCAATTGCAGTACACAGCTTAGTGTTGCCTGCAAAGTTGTTGAGGGTGCATTCAATCCCATTGTCAGTATAATTGTTGTAGATATATAAAAATAAAAATTTAAAACAAACAAAATCCATGTATAAGGACAGAAAGCAGTAGATATAGTTGCCTTTAACCAGTTTTGAGTCACCCAACAAAGGTAGTGGTTACAACTCAGTAATAAAAAAGGAACAGCTTACCTGTTTCCCATAGATCAAGTCTCACTAGAAAACACTCAAAGGAAGCAAACTCCAAGCATAGATGCTTCCCCTCTGACTGCCAGCTCTTAAAATGAGGTTAGGGAGGGGCAGATCCTGGGTCCACTCCTTCTGTCACATAGGTGAATTGCTTGCACCTGTGCTCCCAGGGCTGTCCACACCCCTTCACCAGTGCTCAATCACTGGTTCAGGCTGTGACCTAACTGTTTCCATACAGGATCTGTCCCAGTACAGACTCTTGAGGGATAACTGAAGTCTAGACAGATGACATTGGTGGCTCGTCTCTTGTCTACTAACACAGTTACACTGTCATAAAAAGTGACAAGCTGATCAGGCAAGATTTGCCCTTGCTGAAGCCATTCTGGTTCCCTGGGTTTCCCTTTATACTCCTAAAAACGGGTGTGGCTCTGCCTTATTTCCAGTGACCAGGGGCTTCACCTGACCACCATGGCTTTTCAAATATCTTTCAGAGTGCCTTGTCAACCACATCAGCCAATATTTCCTTACTGTTTATTCTTGGGAGAGTTATTTGTTCAACAATCACTTTTGGCAAAGAATGGAATGTGTTCAGTGATAGATTTCTTATTGAGCAGGCTTTCATAAACTGAGCTCCTTCACAACTCAACCAGTAGATGTGTTCTCTTGAATTTTTGTGCAAAAATATAATGTACAAAAACACTATTGCACCTATTTGTTAAAAGTGTGTTATTGTTAAAACAAAAGAAAATTATCAAAAGAACCAGAGGTCAAGCATCTGCAATGTTTTCCGAAGTATTATTAATTTCTCAATAACGCTTTCAAAAAGATGTTGGCTTTGGTTTCAATTTCCAAATTCTTTCCAAATTGCAGGATTTCCAGCAGAAATTGGTTAGATTAGGTAAGAAATAACCTAACACTCCTGGAAAGCTCTCCAGTGAATAGCATAAATTAACACTCTTTCCTAAGCTCCAATACTTTTCTGAGACAGCTATTGGTTTCAATAATAGAGAGATTTTAATTAAGTCGATGAACATAAGTGGAATGGATATGCACTGATGCATGTGTGAAATACTATAGCATTTAAGAGGGAATGCAGGTTTTCTGATGACTTGTCTTCACCCAGCATATTGCTGATAACAAGGAAATAATTTTTAGAACAATTGTTCAGTGCAGGGAGTTAGTGGTACAGATTCGTGCTTCTAATATGGGTTTTGTGGCTAAGCATGTCTTAAATAAGCCTTACTTTCCTGCCCACTAGCCTGTAGTAAATTGTGGCTTATTTTAAAGAGGAAAAACTTTTCAGCTTTCAATAGAAACTGCAGTCTGAATTGCTGAGTAACCACAGCAGTCAGTGACGTCTGAGTAATCACAGATCAGTCAGTGACGTGAGAAATATGACTAAGTAAATTTCAGAGCAGGAACAGTTTACAAACTTTGGATGCAAGCATACCCACTCATATAAAAAAACACAGAATCATAGGAAGATGCCTCTGAAGGTCATTCAATCCCATTCATGGCTTAAAGCAGGGCACACTTCAAAGTTAGATCCAGCTTTGAGTTTAGATCATTTTGCTTAGGGCATTGTCCAGCTGAGACAGAAACATCTCTGCAGACTGGGATCCCCCAGCCTCTCCAGCTATCACATTCCAGTGTTTGACTGCCTCAGTATGAAATATTTTTCTAATATTTGGCTTTCCACCACTGCCACCCATATCCATTGCCTCTTGTATGTCAGCCTATGCTTAAGTAGGGAGCCAAAATGGGCTCAATGTTCTCACTAATGCAGAGCAGAGGGGAAGGATCACCACCCTGACCTGGTGGTTATACCCTTGCCATTGCAACCCAGGGTGGTTCTTTGCCACAAGAACACACTGGCTTTCAACTTGACCACCAGGATGTCCAAGTCCTCTTTTACAAAGATACTTTCTAGTTGCTCTGTATTGTTGCATGGGATTATTCTGGCTAAGAGAAAATACTTTGTGTTTTTTAATATGGGTCCCAGAAGCCCATTTTTTCAGCTTACCAGGATCCCCGTGGATAGATAATCCTTAACCCCCGTATCTGTTGCACCCCACAGACTGTCACCATCATCAAAGTTCTTGAAACTTAGCCACTCCTTAGCATCACCCAGCTAATTTATAAATAAATTTCTGCCCACAGTATGAACCCCAGAGAAAAAACATTATGGAATGACCGCAATGCAGACTTCGTACCTCTGAACTCAACTCTTTAATATGAACAATCTGGCTAGTGTTTCACATGTACTGTGAAAAACTCTCCAACTCTACAAACAAAATCACTCTGAGGGAAAAATATGAGAAGTTATGCTTAAATCCTTGCTGAAGTAAAGGTAAATGGCATTCACTGTTCTGAAAATTCCGTGATATTCAAGCAGGGAACAATAATAAAACACTTAGACTTTAACCAGGAGGATACACTTCAGCTTGCCTTCAGGTGGAAAGACTTCTCAGCAGAAATTCTTCATAGGAAAACATGCAGGTTGACTGTCCTATAGCTACCCAGAAAATTTAATGAACTTTGGAGATATGACGCAGCATATTCTCAGACATTGGGTGAAAAAAAGCCTAATTTGTTGAAAGTGTCATGTAGCAATACTTAATGCATAACTTCAATCCAATCTAAGAAGAAAGAGTGGAAAATTTATTTTTTTTTAAATCAGAGGTAGATGTGAAATAGGATTGTATCTTTCTGCTAACCGTAATTATAGGAAATTCAGTGAAGTACTTTTTTCCCCGGCTACTGACGAGTGAAAAAGTAATTAAAACATTTTTTCAAGGAGTACAATATCAGAATGGCATAATTGCCATTGCAATTGTCTTGGAAAACTGGCATTGTACTGCCTAAAACACGACTGAGAGTAACTGGGGAGCACCCAGTGCAAATGCTAAGGTAGTGAACTGCTGTCCCCCAGACTCCTCTCTTTCAGGGACTCTGTTGGAGCAGGTGATAACAAAGAAAGGCCAAAGGACTGAAATTATGAGATGAAAATTAAAAGGCTGAGAAGTTACACTGATGAGTGTCTTGCTTGTCTTGTGCCTGAACAGACAGTAGAAATCATTTTCCTAGTGCTACCCTTTAAAGTTGCTTTCAAGTCAGAGTTAAGGTTGCAGCAAAGCAGGGCAGTGAGGGATAAAAGCTATGAAATGAAGGGAGGTTATACAGTGGAAACAAGAGAGATGTTGCAGAATATAAGCACATATTTTGTTTAGCAAAGAATGAAAAGTTTACGCAGCATTTAACACTGCCAGACCAATAAGAGCCTCAGTTCTGAGTGCTGATGTGATGAGCAGCACTGGCTGTCACTTAGCACTGCTTTATGTGCAAACAACACAAAAAGAACATTAAAATGACAAAGTCACACACCCAGAATTGAAATGAAAAAAAAAAATCCCTTTTTTTTTGCAGTATCCCACATAGCTCTGTGGGGCCTTGGCTCCACCTGGGATTTCCCAGACCTCTGGGAGCAATGACTGCAGGCAGAGCTCTGCCTCTCACCACCAACCAGGGCTGGGGGAGATCTCCTGGGAGGAAGCAGACAGTGAACTCTAGGGATTGTAACTGATCTCAGCTTTTAAGAAAAGAGGTTATCACTGCAATTATACAAACCTATTAGGCATTTCAGCCTCTGAATGAGTTCTGGCATATGCATGCACACAGCTGCGAATTCTCACTGGGGCAGTGAAACCACCTGCACTAGGAAAGCCTAATGTGAAGTCAGGTCCATGCCCAAAGATTTTGTACTTTCAATCTCCATCTTCGGCAATCACAGAAATATTACTGAAGTGCAGAAAAAATACATTTTCCCACAAGCCCTTTGAGAAATCACTTCTCCATGCTCCATCTCCCCTAATTGTTCCCATAAAGATCTGTCTGAGCTTGCTGTTGAAACATTTGAGCCCAAAACATAAAACACTGGCAAGGTTATAACAGTTGCAAATGGCACATCAGACAGTCTTGGCTGTTGGTGATGCTGCTAGCAATGCCTACTCTCAGGACCACAGGGGAAAATATCAGCGTGTTCTTTGCACTGCACAGTACAAAGCTCTTTCCTGCAAAATGGCCTTCATGCTTGTTTCTTAAAGGCAGGGTGGAAAAACATCAGGGAACTTAAAATGCTGCTTGTCACTGTAAAAGCAGCTTTTCTAAACAACATCTTTTCCACAATGGAAAAACATACATTTTTAGTATTAATCATGACTCTTTTGGTCTCAAAACATATTTCAAGGACATTCAACTATGGTTAGGTTTTCTATTACCAAGACACAGCTGAACTATTTAAAATAATAATAATAATAAAATAATAGATCACAAAAGGGCAGAAAAAGGAGATTATATTTGATTGCAGAGCTGACACATTGGTCTGCTCCTGTCAGTTCAGCCCTGTGACTATCTAGGACTTCGCGATGTGACAAAAACACATGAAACAAGTTTCCCTTCAGAAACAGAAGCTGAGCAATCTTACTAACTAGAACAAGGACAGAGATTAAATTATGCAAATAATAAGAAGTGATTTTTATTTTTTCCCCTGGCCTTCTGTTGTTTGGAAGAACAAGAGGCTGCATATGAATCAAAGATGCTGCTGCCAGGTACTTATCTAATGAAACATGAATTGCCTTGTGTTGAATCTCCCCAGAGTTGAGTTTCCACATTGCACAGATCTTTAGCATTATGTCTCCATTTAAAAACAAAGTAGGTCACTGAGTCTTCCTCACCCACCCTCTCACACAAGTATTCTTGCTCCAAGAGAGAAAAGGATTGCAAAATGTCTTCACCAAGAGTACACTCAACAGAGCTCATTCATCAAGGACAACAGAGACCATAGAAATTATTTTTAAAAGGGTTTGTGCTTAGAGCTTGGTGAAGGAAAATTATCCATTTCAAAATGAGGTTCCAACCTCAAAGAAAACAGTAAGATCTCAAATACTGAGTGAAATAAGTTGGAAACCCAGTTTCTGTTTAGCAGACAACCTTGAGAAAACTAGTGCTAGAAGTTTATGATATCCCTTCAAGTAGAGAAAAGCCAACACAAAGGATTTTAA